TCTAGAACCTGCAGGGTGCTCAGAACCCGCAACAGTCCCAAGGTCTCCAGAACCTGCAGGAGGTCCAGAGCCTGCAGGAGTTCCAGAGTCTACAGGAGGTCCAGAGTCTGCAGGATGTCCAGAGCCTACATGAGGTCCAGAGTCTGTAGGAGTCCCTGAGCTTGCAGGAGGTCCAGAACCTGAAGCAGTCCCATGGTCTCCAGAACCTACAGGAGGTCCCGAGCCTGCAGGAGGTCCAGAACCTGCCATCTTCCCAGGAAGTCCAGAACCTACAGGAGGTCCAGAACTTATAGCCTTTCCAGGGAATCCAGAACCTGCAGGGAACTTGATCCTGCCACAGAAGACCCAGAGTCTGCTGCAGAGGTCCTTAAGTCCACTGCGATAGCTAAAGTGCTGACACCCCTGCAGCCCCAGCAGTGTCTCCTCCATCGTCTGCAGAGACCATGGTCCTCCCACTCCTTGCTCCCCATGCTGGGCACTCATGGGTCTTTAGGGTGTCCATCTTCATCAGCCGGCCCCCTGAACTTTGGCCCAATGTCAGACGGCCTCCCAGCCACCCACCTGACCTGCTCCGGCCCGTTGGACTGTCTTCTGGCCACCCACCTGTCCTGCGCCGGTCTATTGGATGAACTTCCAGCCGTCCACCTGAACTTTCGCCCAGTGCTGGACGTTCTCCTGACCTCCCACCATCATGTCTGACCAGCCTTGGGATGGTCTCTTGGCTCTCTGGACATTTATGTTCCCCGTGTGTTTAATTTAGATCCCAGGCTTTGATCTTTTTGGTTTTATTTTTGGTCCTCGTGTGTTCCTTATGCCCTCCACCCTTGCAGTTCATCACTCTGCCCACCCTAGTCTTTTGGGGTGAGTTTCTTAGTGTCGCCAGGGGGCATCCTTGGGGGGAGGGTACTGAAAGGATGGTGCCCTATGGTGGGTCCTCTTTGTCTGTACCTCCTAGTGTATCACTTTAATTACCTCTGATTAGTTTCACCCTTGTCTCATGTCCTGTCTGCATATTTAAGTTAATCTGTTAATCCTGTTATTTGTCGGTTCATCGTTGGGCATATTCCTTGTCCTGTCTTGGTCAGTTCTGGTCCTAATCTGTTCCTAGTCACGTAAGTGTGCTGCCACATCAGCCTCTTTGTCATTAAAAATATTTTGTTTTGCGTCCTGCCTCCTGAGTCCTGCCTGCACAACTGGGTTCTTTTCTGTCCTGCCTGAAAACCCTGACAGAGTGATGTAGGATGGAGTGGTAGATGGATCTACAATTTGGGGCCTCATCCTCAGAAATGAGAGCATTTCTTTAGTCAGTCATGGTGAAAAAAGTGCTGAGTCGAAAGGCAAAGCTCTTGATCTACTGGTCTGTCTATGTTCCATACCTTACCTGTGTTCATGAGGTTTGGATCAGAACTGAACGAACCAGATCATGGGTATACCGGTAATCGGCCAAAATGAGCTTCCTTCTTAGGGTGGCTGGTGTAGTGAACTCGGCCTCCGACCAAAACCTGTCTCTGAAGACCTTCATGGGACAGGAACTGTTATTTCATTGATTTGAATCCAGAAATACAAATTAGCTCATCCAGAGACTATCTAATTGTATCCTGAAGTAATCAATTGAAAGAACACTCTTCTTTTTATATTATCATTACTATTTTACAATATCTTGATAATCAAAAAGTGTGTTTAGTTCATATCATTTCTAATGTTGAAGTGAACCTCTCATTTTAAATCAACTGTGAAACAGTATTAATGATTTTTTAAACCTCATTAGATTTAGAAATCAAGTTAAATGTCTATTTACAAAGTAATTATGCATTTTGATCTTCTGTCTGAATGAGAAGTCAGTGATGTCGGTCAAAAGTCAGAGACAGTCAGAAAAGAAGTTATTAGAACGAACTGTATTGTTTTTAAACCGAGCAGACGGTAAAAAGAGAAACACTGGCAGCTGCGTTCCTCTCACTTCTTCATAACATTTCTCTGTCTGTACTACACGTTCCTAAACATCTCTGAACCCTCTCTTGACTTTTAATAACCCTCTGACATCACTAGAACCACCCCCTGTTGGTTGTTTCAACCAATCAGGAAGTATTAAGTGACCGGAAGTGAAGACTCTTTTAAAAGTCGACACTTCCTGGAACTATTCAGTTCTTCTGAGTTCTTCTCAGTTTTTCTGAGTCTTCTCAGCCTTCTCGAGTCTTGGAGTTCTTCTGAGTCTTCTTGACTCTTCAGTCTCTGACTATGGAGTCTTCCTGAGAGTTCCTAAGGAACTTTCAGATTTAATCAATAGCTGATGGATTTGGCCATGAGACGAGGGTCCGTCCATCTCAGCGGAGACACAACGCCTTGCTGTGAATCCACCCGGGCGTAACGCCTACAACTTCGAAGGGTCCTGTTTGTTGAACGGAGTAAACCACACGACTTCTGACAATGCCCAGCCACCCTGACCGAAGACGCTGTAAAAGGATCGTACTAATGGACTTCTGTTCCGGAGCGGAGGTATCCCCGTCTAAGGTAACAAAGTCTCTGCACGTCCTGAAGTGTACCGGAGGTTTGAGCTGGTGTTGAAAGAAGCGTGCTAATTCTGGTCAACAACATACACCTTCCTCCATCCATCTCTTCTTTAAACCTCTAAATTCCTTCCTTTAAACTCTTCTATTTTGCCAGTAATCTAGATGCCTTCAGAAATGTCCTGTTGTCTTATTAGTAAAGCGTGCCAAGTTTTTGTTAATCAGAATCAGATCAGCTAATCATGTGTACATGTTTTGATGTTAAATTTTAATTCTGTTAAATAAATGACAGCATTTATTCTGATGGGTCAAAGAAAATTAACGTCTCTTGTCACTGATTAAACAATACTCACAGTTACCTCGGTCACATGGCATTAATTTAACTCGAAAAAGAAAGAACCCGTTATATTAAAATTTTTAGTAGAGAAGCGACAGCAAAGGCTGACCCCCACCTTGACTACTACATTCGGTGGGACCGTACGTGTTTTAAATAACACAAATGATGGACCGTATGTCCACAGCAAAGCTGTACGTTGACACACTACGCTGGGCTCAGTCTTAAAGATTGGGTGAGGAGTACCTGTCAGTGTAATGTGTATTATTTGCACTCATCATGATCAATAACTCTTCTGCGGGAACGTTCTGCAATGTCCTTCTCCTGTTGATGTTGTGATGTGTGATATTAACTGACCTATGTAATCACTCTTATTGTGACCAGTCAGTGAGGAACAGAAATAACTGTTTATTTTGATACTCTCAAGGGCTGATTGATATGATATTGATATGATAGAGTTGATATGATATGGTGACATGTCTCAAGCAGAGTCCTTGACTCAGATCCACTCCTTCCTGTCGGCAAGCAGACCTTTCGATCACGGCTCGGACATGGAAGGGAGGAGCTGAGGCCTGGGCTGGAGGTTATTCTATAAAACTCACTTGTCCGGTTGTTGTTAACTAACCATACTGTCCTGTCAGCAGTAATTATTTCCTCAATTCTTTAACAGTATTTTGATCAGTCCTAAATGACCTAAAAATTGGTTCTAGAGGTCATCTTAACCAACTTTCTTTTAATGCCAAAGGCTTCAACACAGTGTACACTATACAGATCCAAAAACACACAAGATAAACAAACTCAAACACAAAAAAGGCCCACAACTACCCCTCTTAAACAAAAATGTAAATCAAGCCTGTTGGACAAAATCTAACTTCAAAACAACTTCAGAAAAGAGGAATAACCCTTATAAACTTCTTCTATAGAGACCTAGCTTGTCAGGGGACACTGCATGCCCTCAAAATGTAGTCATCCTCGATTTTCTTCAGCACATAACTCAGGTAGCACACCTTTACCCAGTAATTTAGTCATTTCAATTCTCACAGCTGTTTAGAATAAAGGTTTTGTTGTCCATCCATACAAATCATCCCACAGTCAACAGAGCAATAAAAATCTAATCCTGTCCAACCATATTTCTACCAGTTATGAGAAACCTGAGTGCATGTCACAATGAAATAAGTCTCACACCTCAGTCTGTGGCTATCATCAAAAGTTCTGTCTGTCTGTCTGTCTCAGTCTGGTTCAGCCTGACCTCCCTTTCACAGTCATTCACTTCAGCACACACACATACACACAGACACTTTTGAGCCAAAATGTTTTGTCATAAGATTCACTGTGGAGTGAGAGGGATGCCAGCAAACTGTTTGGATTTTTTACTACCTGCCCGTCATTTCACTTTGATTTATCCCAGGGATGGGGTCTCTATGACAGGATGCATGAATATCTTTACTTGCTTGATGTCTCAAAGTGATCCTGCTCTGTTTTTGCCACATGCAGTTAAGGGACTTCTGTAGTAAACTTTCCCTTATTTCTTTGCTACCATGACACTCTGTCATCTGGGGAGAGATCACAGTAGAGTTGCTGCTTTTCTGCATCAAAAGTTATCAGTTGAGAAGGTTTGGGCAACTGATTAGGATGCCTTCTTGATGCCTACCATTTTGAAGTGTTTTTAAGCACGTCCCACTGGTAGGAGACCCCAGAGAAGACCAATAACTCTCTGGAGGGATATGGGATATGGCCTAGGAATGCCTTGTGTCCCCGAGCTGGATAGTGTTTCTGGGGAGAGGGATGTCTGGGTTTGTCTACTGGACCTGATGGCACCACAACCCAACAACTGATAAACAGTAGAAGACATATGAATGGATGTATAAATGGATGAACTTCAGGAATTGTAAATTCTTTAATGGAGTCAGGCTAGCAATGTCTATATATTTGAAGTACGAATCCCAAGCTATGATAACTCACTGCCTCTGTGACGTTATTGTTTAACAGTCATGAGAAATGTCATTTCTGTCTCAGCAGAAGAGTGACAAAGAAAGCAGTGCTGTGAAAACAGACCTTTCTTCCAAAACCCAGTAGTAGAACTGTGTTAACTCATGCCTTAACTTGGTTATCAGGCAAAACTGTGCTGACTTTGATTTTTTTTTATTCCATTGACTTCAAAGCACGTGGGCTGCGACAACATCTTGGGGTCTGATGCTAAAGAAGATCAATGCCGTGTGTGTGGAGGAGATGGCAGCACCTGCGAAGTCACTGAGGGACTCTTTAATGATTCTCTGCCCCGAGGAGGTAAAAACATGTCTCGAGTTTGCAGTTTGCTTTTATTACTGCATGTATACTGCACTACTACGGAGCCCCTAAAGGGATGTTTGTGTAAAAAATATTTTAAAATAGTATTTTGTGTGTAGGGGAAACTAGTACACACAAGACATTCACATTTTTTGGTAGCATGTCAAACTAAATGTACTAACTCAGACTACTAAAGAGTATTGCTTTAAAAGAAAATTCACCAACCATGAAAATACAAAGTACTCCTTATGACATCATCCAAAGACTCAATCAAGGTCAGATTTATATATTAATTATTCATGTAATTGTTGTCAAAACATGAAAAATGTATAGTTTGAGGTCAAACTACATCTTAAATTTCTTATTTCAATTTATAAACTGAAAACCCAGAGGCTGAACTGCCCTGGATAGTTTCTAATGGTGCACATCAGACAGTTTTCTGAAGTGCATGAGATATTGTATTATTGCATGAGCACCAAAATTGTAATAGGGTATTTTTGTGTGCACCAGATACTTCTCTGTGTGCACCAGAATCCTTTTTCAAATATATTTTTCACAAACATCCCCTACAGACAGAGCCAGATTAACACTTCGCTGTACCCTGGGCAACAATCTTCAAGGGCCCCATCATCACAACCCCAGAATTACCATAATCTGGCAAAATACAGAATAAGTTACCATAATATACAGTAAATATACTTAAAATTCTAAATATCAAGCGTATTTTTATGTATAAAACTCCAAATGCTCATTGACACAAATCATCAAGACCGAATTAAGTTGAATGCACTTTGAACACCATATCATCATCATCATCATCAACTTTATTTATAAAGCACTTTAACACAGCCATAGCTGAAACAAAGTGCTGAAACATCAGTTAAAAACAAGATAAAAGACAGCATAAAAACAGAGCTACAAACCCAAGCACACAACTCAATTTAAAACACAATAAAACAACAAGTTAAACAGATAAAATCAACACCAATAAAATAAAGTAAAATCAAGACTAAGTTGGGTTGAAGGCCAATGAATAGAGATGAGTTTTTAGATGGGTTTTAAAAATGGACAGCGAGGGGGCCTGTCGAATGTACAAAGTGTTCCATAATTTAGGGGCACTAACATAGAAGGCCCTCTCTCCTCTAAGCTTCCTCTTACTCTTGGGGATGACCAGGAGCAGCTGGTCAGCAGACCTGAGTGACTGAGGTGGAGTGTAATGGTGGAGAAGCTCTGTTAAATAAGGAGGGGCGAGACTGTTTAAAACCTTAAAAACAAACAAAAGAATTTTAAAATGAACTCTAAAATACACGGGCAGCCTGTGGAGAGAAGCCAGGACAGGTGTGATGTGCTGTCTTTTGTGTGTTCCAGTTAAAAGACGTGCAGCAGCATTTTGCACCAGCTGCAGACGTGCGAGTGAGGACTGGCTGACTCCAAGATAGAGAGAATTACAGTAATCCAGCCATGATGAAATGAAGGCATGGATTACTGTTTCAAACTGTTGCCTTGAAAGAATAGGTTTTACTTTTGCCAATTTTCTCAAATGATAAAAACCAGACTTTACTGTGGCCTTTATTTGACTGTCGAGTTTAAAATCACTGTCCATCTTAAAACCAAGATTTGTAACTGTAGACTTTAGGTACATTGTTATGGTGTCTAAGTCGACTGGAGGGCTCAAACAAGCTCCACTAGGTCCAAAAACAAGTACCTCAGTCTTTTTTTCATTAAAATGCAGGAAGTTTAGGGCCATCCAAGCTTTAAGATCCTCGAGACATGATAAAAGAGGTTTAATGGACCAGGCATCAACTCGCCTCAAAGGAACATAGATTTGGCAATCATCAGCATAGCAGTGAAAGGAGATGCCGTGTTTTCTAAAAATTGATCCTAGAGGAAGCAGATATAAAGAAAAAAGCAAAGGCCCTAAAATTGATCCCTGAGGTACGCCACATGACAAAGGAGCAGAATAGGATTCATGCCCAGCAGTTTTTACAGAGAAAGTTCTGTCAGTCAGATAGGACCCCAACCACTCCAGAGCAGTCCCACCAATCCCTACTTGATGCTGTAGACGTGACAGTAAAATGCTGTGGTCCACTGTGTCAAAAGCAGCAGTTAAGTCCAGTAAAACAAGAATCTCATGATCACCTGAGACACATGCCAGGAGGACGTCATTAAAAACTCTCAGCAGAGCTGACTCTGTGCTATGGGGAGTTTTAAATCCAGACTGGAACACATCCATGATGTTATGTTCATCCAGGAAGGATTTTAACTGAGCATAAACAATTTCTCCAAGATTTTTGACAGGAGGGGAAGCTTAGAGATGGGCCTAAAATTCCCCAACACAGTGGGATCGAGACCAGGTTTTTTTTAATAGGGGCTGCACAACAGCATGTTTAAAATTAGCAGGGACTACTCCAGATAACAAACTACTGTTAAAAAGGTCAAGAACCAAGTGTTTAACACAAGGGAAAACCTCTTTAAGAAAGCGTGGTGGAAGAGCATCATATGGAGAACATGAAGGCTTAATCTGAGTGACCATGTCCTCTAAAAATGACACAGTCACCAGCTCAAACTGATTGAAAGCAGCAGAGCAGGGGACACACACAGAGGGGTCAAAGTTTGGGCATAAGATGGAAGCCCTTATAGAGGTGACCTTATCAATAAAAAACTGCATAAAATTATTGCACAACTGAGTAGATGATTCAAAACCAGGTGTCTGTGGAGAATTAAGAAAATAGTCAATGGTACTAAAAAGAACACGTGGGTTGTGGCTGTGGGATAAAATCAAGTTAGAAAAATAGTCCTTTGTGGCTGCTTTAACTGTGTCCTGGTAATTGCGCCAACAGTCTTTAAAAATTTGAAGGGACACCTGCAGCTTGTCCTTTCTCCACCTGCGTTCCGCTCTGCGACATTCCTGTCTGACAGCTCGAGCCGTTCTGTTCTGAAGCCATGGCTTATGTTTAAATCCAGGCTGTTTGGTCTTTAAAGGAGCCACAGTATCCAACACAGTCAGACAGGATGAATGGAGCCAAGAACTCAGATCCTCAGCATCAGTTGAGGCAGGTGGACAGAGCTGGCAGAAAACCTCAGTGAACTGGCCAGCAGTGGAGGGGTTAATAATCCGACAGCTCTGAGCAGGAGTGTGAGTGTTAATAGGAGCATATTTGAGAACAGTCTGGAATGTTATAGACATATGATCAGAGATTATAGAGTCATGAATTTCCAGATTAGACACAGGTGATCCCAAAGAGAGCACAAGATCTAGAGTGTGACCTTTATCGTGTGTAGGACCAGACACAGAATGCACCAGGTTAAAAGAGTCAATGAGAATTAAAAATTCTTTTACCAGAGGTTTGTCTGGGCAACAAACATGGATGTTCAAATCACCCATAATAACGAGATGGTCATATCCAGTCCATCCATCCATCCGTCCATCCATTTTCTTTACCCGTTTATTCCATTTTGGGTCACGGGGGTCGCTGGTGCCCATGTCCAGCAATCACTGTGCGAGGGGCGGGGTACACCCTGGACGGGTCGCAAGTCCATCACAGGGCCACATAGAGACAAACGAGACAAACAACCATTCACTCTCTCACTAACACCTAGGGACAATTTTAGAATTACCAATCAGCCTAACATGCATGTTTTTGGTCTGTGGGAGGAAACCGGAGAACCCGGAGAAAACCCACGCATGCACGGAGAGAACATGCAAACTCCACCCAGAAAGGCCCCTGGACCGGGGTTTGAACCAAGGACCTGCTCGCTGAGAGGCAGCAGCTCTACCAGTTGCGCCACCATGCTCCCGTCATATCCAGTCACTATTTCATAAAGAAAATCTGAAAAGTCACTAATAAAATCCTTATTATATTTGGGAGCACGGTAGATGACAGCACAGAATGTTGGGTCAGAGCAGCCCACTTCAAAGCAGGTCAGCTCAAAGCTGGTGAAGTGACGCTGTTTAAAACACTGTATACAACTACAAAAGTACATATGTGTACTTGTTTATTAACGTGTTGACCACTGGTGTCAGAAGCATTTATAATGTGTGTGTGTGGGGGGGACACACACTGATGGGGGTGTCTGGGGGTCTTCCCCCAGATAATAGAGCCGTGCTGAAACAGGATTAGGAAATTTAGTTCTGCGGCGCATAATCTCTAGTTAATAAAATTGAATGAGTGAAAAATAAACCAAAACGGTACACACATGGACCGAACGTGCCGTACCAAAACGGTTCGGTACACCCACATGTACCGTTACACCCATAGTGGAGGTGGTGTGCTGCTAACCTCAACTTGGGATGTCGAGGGTCAGTGGGCAGAATACTTTGAAGACCTCCTCAATCCCACCGGCACGTCTTCCACTGAGGAAACGGAGCCTGGGGACTCTGGGTCGGGCCCTCCAATCTCTGGTGTTTAGGTCACTGAGGTGGTTAAAAAGCTCCTCAGTGGCAGGGCCCCAGGGGTGGATGAGATTCGCCTGGAGTTCCTTAAGGCTCTGGATGTTGTAGGGTTGTGTTGGCTTACGCGACTCTGAAATATTGCGTGGACATCGGGGGAAGTTCCTCTGGACTGGCAGACCGGGGTGGTGGTCCCCTTATTCAAAAAGGGGGACCGTAGAGTGTGTTCCAACTACAGGGGAGTCACGCTCTTAAGCCTCCCTGGTAAGGTCTATTCGGAGGTTCTGGAGAGGAGGGTCCGTTGGATAGTTGAACCTCGGATTCAGGAGGAGCAGTGCGGTTTTCGTCCTGGCCGTGGAACACTGGACCAGCTCTACACTCTCAGCAGGGTCCTGGAGGGTGCGTGGGAGTTTGCTCCCACTCTACATGTGCTTTGTGGACTTGGAGAAGGCATTCGACCGCGTCCCTCGGGGAACCCTGTGGGGGGTACTCTGGGAGTATGGGGTACCGAGCCCTTTGATACGGGCTGTTAGGTCCCTGTATGACCGGTGTCAGAGCCTGGTCCGCATCGCCGGCAGTAAGTCGGGCTTGTTCCCGCTGAAAGTTGGAC